GTGTTAAGCAAAACAAAATAGCAAAATGCTCATAGATGGATAATTCACAAATTGTAGTGAGCATTAGGTAGTATGCGGTCATCAGTTATGAAGAGCACAACATGTAAAAACATTGTGCTTCTCTATGACTCTATGTGCCCAAAGCATTTTTTTTTTTTTTTGAGATTACAATAAAAAGGCAATCTATGGAGATTAGAAATCAAAATATTTGGTACTAAAAGTAGAAAACCTAATTACAATGAAAAAAATCAGCATGCATGTTTCTAAACACTCACAGACTTGCCTGGAGCATTTTAAAAATCACATCACACCAGCCCTAAGAAGTTTCTTATTTTTCTAGTCTCTATGCTAATACAGCCAAATGGGAAACACAACCTTGTGAATATGAAGGCCAATGTTATTCTATTAACCTTATATGTTATCATATTTACTTTCCTGTATTTAATGAATAAATTAAAATGCCCTCTCATTCTTTAATTGCTGGATAGTTAGAGTATGACAATGTAACATTTTTTTTCAGCTACATTCTGCAGCCTTAACAGCCCAAACTCAATAATTTTGTGGGAGAGTTCAATGAAAGGCAATGACAGATAAACTGTTTAAAAGACTCTATCAAAGTTATTTTGCACCTGGTTTCATCCTAATCCATCTGTTTTTTCTATAGCTCTGACAGGCTGACCTCTCTTCCTGTGTATGCCATGTTGATGTTATTACTGAAGAGGCCTTCCCCAGCCTTTCTGCTGATAACTAAGAAAATGGAAATGCAGAGAAACCTTGGGGAGGTAATAACTGGTGGTTAAAAAAATAGGGACAAATACAGGAGGGAAGAGTTCCTGTTGTCACAACAAATGCATTCACTACAGCACATCAACTTCAAAAAAGCCAGTTGATAGCAGGAATAAAATTTATTGCATATTTTAGCAAAGTTTAAACATAAAAGTGGGCTGGGCCCAGCCAAGCATGGCTCAGCAGTTGAACATTGACATAGGATCCAGGAGATCACTGTTCAATTCCCTGTCAGGGCATATGCCTGGGTTGTGGGCTCGATCTCCTGTCGGGGGTGTGCAGGAGGCAGCAGATCAATGATGACTCTCATCATTGGTGTTTCTATCTCTCTCTCCCTCTCCCTTCCTCTCTCTGAAATCAATAAAGATATATTTTTAAAAATTCTAAAAAAAAATCTGGGCTGGAATTTAACTTGGCTACTATGTTTTCAAAGTATGATTTGCATCACAGTATAAGGAACACATCCAAAAGCTGCCAGAATGTTCTGGTTTCCTGCTATCATGGAATTTATCTCACTTGCAATTATCAAATAACAACCTAGCCTGTGAGCTGGCCCAACAGTAACAATAAAAACAAATAAACAAACAAAATTAAATGAACTATAAAACCAAAATAAAAAACCTGGTTTAAAAGCAAGCTGCTTGTTTGAGATAATTAGTAATCTTCAGAAAAAATAAAATTATGAAGTGTAGGGGAAGAGATATAAGGACACTATTTTTCTGTAAATGTTAATATCTTTGAGGTACAACTGTGCTACTAGAATCTAACAGCACACATATACCCAGTAAAATGCTTTCAATTAAGTGCACTTTTCTAAGGGTACCATGATAATCCTGAGGCAGAAAAAGAGAGAAGCTTGGGTTCAATAAAATTTCGAACATTGGAGTTACCTACAGCAATATATCCAGACACAATTCATTAGAATGACTTTGTGCTCAAAGCAAATTGTTCAGTTGTTTATCAAACACCAACTTATCATTCTAAGCTTTATCTGGAGTCCTTTAGCTGAGCCTGGTAACTAATTGAACATTTTTAGCCATAGTGCCCATTTTCTGAACTTCTAACTGGGCTAAATTAAGTCATCTAAGATGTTGGTCTAGATCACATTAATAAGACAGTATAAATATTAAAATGCCCTAAAGGTAGTTTCTAACAATACCTATTTTTATGACCTTTATTTTATAAAGTCTGTTTCTTCTAATGCTGATGATTAAGGCATGGGAAACCCATGCCCAGATCTAACCCAGCTTCAGAACCTAGCCATCCTGGCACCAGAGTATAATAATAGATTACGTGCTTAGAGGTGTGTAAATAAAGCATCATGATATCATTCAATGGAATATTAAGCAGATGTTTACCTGGTTCTATGAATATATACTGGAAGGAGCTCTGGAATTTGGTCAACATACATTCTAGAGGCCTTTGGAATAGGTCAAATTATGGATAGCTTAAAACTTTAAAGACAGCAATTTTAATAAACCTGCCAATACAATTTCTTTGTTAAAAAAACATTTGAGACTGATTAGGCTGCTTATATTGAAAGAGAAGCACTAGGTCTATATCTTTAGATCTTTTATTGAACTGCAAGCACAACATCAATAACTGCTTCTCAGCTGTAAATGAAAATTGATTCCAGGTTTAACCCATCATTTTCATGGATTCTTTTAATCCTGAGAAACATAAAAAGAGAGTTTTGACCAAAGGAAAACTGAAGGTTCAGTACTATGAGGTTAGGGTATGCGGACAACTTTACATCTATGAACTCCCAAGAAGCTTGTCTTACTAGATCATGCCACTGTCCCACCAAATCCCAGTGACTCATCACTGCTAGCCCTAGATGACCGGCTGAAAATGGCAATTAAATAAGTGCTGTATAGGGATGAAGGCTAGGATTAGGTTTTATATCTATCTTGCCAAGAGCAGCATCCGAGAAGTAAAAAGTCAGTTGGCTAATTGACATCACATAGCCCTCACATCCCAACCATATTATTGATATACAACTTAAAAAGAATGCATTGAAACACATATGTTTATGCAGACACTAAGTACAAAACACTGCACCCAATTCAAACACTGTTCTGGAACATTCCACTGTCCAATGTCATGTGCAAATGACTATTTCCCATTAAGGGGGAGCTCCTGAAAGAAAACCAAGG